GACTTCGAAGTTACGGGCACTTCGGTCTACCGGGCACTATTTGGGCGAGTTTCAGGGGAAATATTACTACTCTTTTGTCACTTTTCGTAGAAATATTGACGTCATATGCCATATCGATGGCCTTTTCCCCATCAAGATGTATATGATTCGGAGTTACGGGCACCCTCGAAGTTACGGGCAGTGTCCGGTCCCGAAGCGCCCGGATAAGAGAGGTATGAGTGTATTTCTTTAAGAATTCTCCGAAGGCACGCGCTCTCTTCTTGACATCTGCCCAATCTGAACTGCACACTCTCATCAGGTATGCAAACCAAAGGAAAGGGTCTAGCGCGGTGGAGGTGGTAAGGGGGGGGGGGGGGGGGGGTGGCATTGACAGATCCGCCGGTATCAGTGGCCAGTTAGATCTACTTGTTCGAGCAAGCCATATGTGGACAGTGCTGTTTTATCAGTCCGTACACTGATCAGCGAAGCGCAGAGGAACACACGTTGGACAAGCGGATGATTAGGACAATATCAGGTACCATTAACCAGACTGGCAGTCCAAAACGGATGCAAACACAGATGTACTCTGAACACCCAATTGTAACATGACTGCATCAAGAGCTGCCATGGTAAGGGAATTGGAAACGAATCATCAGATGCAGCCATCGTGACAGTGATACAGCAGTGACGAGGTTGAAATATACATCCAATGCTCCACTGAATAACATGCTAGCATAACTCGATCAGACCGGCAACGTGGAAACTTTTACCCATGCCCGTGCTGCAACGGAAAAGCAAACGCACTGCATACAACATCATAATGCAGATTTTAGATCTGTGTTGGGAAACTTTGGTAGAAAGTGCTGTGCTGCTTGCCGCAGCAAGTAAAGCATGAAATTCTTGTTTATGCACCATACATATTATAGAAAACGAAGAAATGCTGTGTAAAACAAATAAAATTTTCTGCCCAATATTTCTGCTGAGAATCAGGTGATAGCACAAGCAAATGTGCATACTGTATAATTGGAACATTCAGTGCCATCACTGCATCAGATGCATGCAGGCCAAGTTCACACCGGCCTGTTCCATAGAGCACATTCTGCCGCCCGCCGTCTGATCAATCCCCTCAGCGCCTTGAGCTTTCCACCCACTCTTGCCTTGTTGTACTCACTCATCTCTCCAGGAACTTGCCATGTTCGACCAGCATTTAGCTTGTCCAGCAGTTCACTTCGCTGCAGGGTACCTGCACCCAGGTTGTAGGTGAATGACACCAGAGCATCAAACTGATTCTGGTTCAGCCGATAGCGGACATACCTGTTGACTGCATTCTCGGCAGCCCTCAGGTCACCTCGCAGAAACTTGTCAGCTTGCTGCTCAGTTATCGTCTGCCCCATTCGGACCTACCACAGAAGAGAGAGGGAGAGACAGACAGACAGACAGACAGACAGACAGACAGACAGACAGACAGACAGACAGACAGACAGACAGACAGACAGACAGACAGACAGACAGACAGACAGACAGACAGACAGACAGACAGACAGACAGACAGACAGACAGACAGACAGACAGACAGACAGACAGACAGACAGACAGACAGACAGACAGACAGACAGACAGACAGACAGACAGACAGACAGACAGACAGACAGACAGACAGACAGACAGACAGACAGACAGACAGACAGACAGACAGACAGACAGACAGACAGACAGACAGACAGACAGACAGACAGACAGACAGACAGACAGACAGACAGACAGACAGACAGACAGACAGACAGACAGACAGACAGACAGACAGACAGACAGACAGACAGACAGACAGACAGACAGACAGACAGACAGACAGACAGACAGACAGACAGACAGACAGACAGACAGACAGACAGACAGACAGACAGACAGACAGACAGACAGACAGACAGACAGACAGACAGACAGACAGACAGACAGACAGACAGACAGACAGACAGACAGACAGACAGACAGACAGACAGACAGACAGACAGACAGACAGACAGACAGACAGACAGACAGACAGACAGACAGACAGACAGACAGACAGACAGACAGACAGACAGACAGACAGACAGACAGAGTGCACACACATATCTCTGGTAACTGGCCAAACCCGGCGGTATGCTTGTGGTGAATACCGGTATGGTCATGTTATCGCTGTGCTTCGGAGTGTGGCAAATGGAATACTAAATTCACAAAAACAATAGCTGCATGAGGCGTCCTTCAGAAGTGTGACACTAGGAATAAAATACAGTGCTAGCAATTGTGCTAGACGCATCACTCTGATATGAAACTTTACCTCACAGAGTCACGCGGCCTGGTTGAAACCATACGCCGCATATTTGTTCAAAATTTGCAGAGGAGTGCTACGTTCTGGACTGGCTGTATATTGCACTTCCTAGCTCTCAGTGTTACAGCACTGAACAAGACGCACACTCATTCCAATGGAAACTGGCAGTGCTTGCAGTGCCTCACTGGCAAAGGCAAGGACATGCACGTGAGAATCAATATACATGATGGGTACAGGACGGCTATGAATAGGCAAATGGTGGCACTTGCTAATTGAGTACAACTTTCATCCATGACTTGCAAAGTGTCTTTTAATAAGTATCAGTATATAGAACCTGAATGCATCAGTGAGACTCACATTTCTTGTGTGACCATATCCAATGGTGGGATGACCAGCTACGTCCAGGTATGCCTTCAGGCGGAGACCTTCAAAGTGCTTCACCAGATCCAATCCCCTCCGGCCTGTTGACATTCGCCGTTTACGACTTGTGGAATATCTTCCGGCTTGTCTTGGAGTCGCATTTAGCTTGAAAAGCTGAGCTGGAAGAGCCACTGTTGGTGCCACGTCCTCGGTCAACCCAGGGCCGCTGCTGTTTCCACTGAGGCTGCTGGAATTTGAAGTATTAGTTGTTGCTTCCTGTGTAGAGTTACCAATGTGAGGCCCTGATGGCTGCAAGGATCCAGGGTGATTAGGTACTGACGTTGACCTGATTTCCGGGCCCGGTGATGGTGACATGACTCCTGGACAAGGTTGTGGCAAAGGTCTGGCTTTTGGGCCTGGTGGTTCTGGTGATGGCGGTTGGAATTCGGGGCCAGGTGATGCTGGTGGTGGTCGTGATGGTGGTGGTGGTTGTGATGGTGGTGGGTCAAATTCTGGGTCTGGTGGTTGTGGGTCAGATTCTGGGTCTGGTGGTGGTGGGTCAAAATCTGGCTGTGATGGTGATGGGTCAAAATGTGGTTCTGGTGGTGGTGGTTCAAATTTGGGGCCTGGTGATGGTGGCGGTTGGATTTCGGGGCCTGGTGGTGGCGGAGGTGATTCAGGCCCTGGGGCAGGTCCAGGTCCAGGATCAGGTCCTGGGGCAGGTCCAGAATCAGGCCCTGGGGAAGGTTTAGGATCAGGCCCTGGGGCAGGTCCAGGATCAGGCCCTGGGGTAGGTCTACGATCAGGGTCCACATTAGACCCATAATCTGGCTTTCTCCCTTTCTCTTGATTTTGCCCTCGTTTTGGCTTTTCCTTCGCGTCCAATTTTTTACTAGGCTTATTCTTCTCTCTGTTGCTGACTTTCCGACTATCTTTTCTATCCTTTTTACGGTCCAGTTTCAGCGTGCCATCCGGCTTCTTTCGTGGGTGACTCCTTCCTGGCTGCTTTTTGTTCCGATCTCCTCCACGTCTCCAGCTCAGCCATCGCCTGTACATGTTCTTACCCTTTCCACCAATCCGTTTCAGCCATCGCCTGTACATGGTGCGACCTTTTCCACGACTCCGTCTCAGCCACTGCTTGAATGAGTTACGACTTTTTCCACTGCTCCGTCTCGGCCACTGTCTCTTGCGACTTTTTCCGCTGCTCCGTCTCGGCCACTGTCTGTTGCGACTTTTTCCACGACTCCGTTTCAGCCACTGTCTGCTGCGACCTTTTCCACGGCTCCGTCTCAGCCACCGTCTGTTGCGACCTTTTCCATGACTCCGACTCGGATATCTTGACCTGCGTCGGGTACGTACCTCCGATCGACTCCTTGACCTCCTGCGGTGGGTACGTACCCCCGATCGACTCGTTGACCTCCTGCGTTGGGTACGTACCCCCGATCTACTCCTTGACCTCCTGCGTCGGGTACGTGTCCTCACTCGATATCTTGGCCTCCTGCGTCGCGTACGAACCCCCGATTGACTCCTTGACCACCTGCGTCTGGTACGTACCCCCAATCGACTCCTTGACTTCCTGCGTCGGGTACGTACCCCCGATCGACTCCTTAACCTCCTGCGTCGGGTACGTGTCCTCACTCGATATCTTGGCCTCCTGCGTCGCATACGAACCCCCGATCGACTCCTTGACCACCTGCGTCTGGTACGAACCCCAATCGACTCCTTGACTTCCTGCGTCGGGTACGTACCCCCGATCGACTCCTTAACCTCCTGCGTCGGGTACGTGTCCTCACTCGATATCTTGACCGCCTGCCTCGGGTACGCGTCCTTGATTGATAACTTGATCTCCTGCGTCGAGTATGTGCAGATCGCCGTCTTCTTCGGTATCGTGGGGATCTTTCTGAAACGTGCTGCAAAGCACTCTCATCGCTAGCTTGGCGGGCATTTCTGGATGTGAGTTGGCTGTGTACAACCTGCCAGTCCGGATGTAACAGCGGGGATGTCTCGTCAGCCAAGGAAGTGTCCTGATGCACCAACGCTAAATCTTTACTCACTGCCTGCTGCACCGGGGTGGATAGTTGGAGCACTGCGGCATTGTGATCTTCAGCCGACGTGATGAGCTGGGACTGTGACAGGGCGACGACACCTCCCAAATCTCCGGAGGCGCCTTCTGCCGTTCCCGTCCCAATGCTTGCTGATATCACTGCTGCTGCTGTTGCTGTTGCTGCTGTCAGTCCCACCGGTACTGGGTCATAGAGAACACCGCTTCTAGCCAGTCCAACTTGAGCGGCAATGGCCAGCAATGGCACCAGTGTACCCAACCCGCCCTGGCTCAGCATCTGCACACACACAAAAGAAACACATGACAATTGTGACAAGGAGCATATTCAGTATACATCATGTATACATGAACATGTAGTTGCATCTTCACACCATCGTTAATAAGTATAGTAGTCTAATATCTCCGGGGTTCACGTCGTCGTCTCGGTGGGCTGGCAATTTGCGATGGTGTCGGCCTTGGCGTTGGCCGTTAACATTCATGCGTATGGCACTTGTTGTTGTTGTGTGTGGGTGTGTGGGTGTGTGGGTGTGTGTGTGTGTGTGTGTGTGTGTGTGTTTGTTTTCTTTTCAGCTGTCATTTGCCCTGATCATGCCTCATGCGTGTTTCACAGCATAGTACGTTTCCGCTCATTTTCTTCTTCAACACACGCTAGCTGTATTACTTTGTTCTTGCCCGTACAAGAGGCTTTCGACAAAAGTATAGCAGTCTAAAACTCTGATTGATGCTACTAAGTACAGTGGCATGAACCTTTTTGCAGTTTCTAACAAACTTTCTACAAGTACTGTATTTGGCCAAACAGGTTTACGCAGTCAGGATTATGCATTCTTCATCTCCCACGGGACGTTGAAGAAGAAGAACCTTCTCACTCTCCAGAAGTCTGAATGGTTGCAGTGGCGTACCCGGGGGGGGGGGGTTGTTTTAGGTGCTCAAGCACCCCCCCCCCCCTCAAATTTTTCGACATAGGCCAACTTGATGTACCCATGCCACTAAAAGAACCATAACGTTGCGACCGATGGTCCGATTTACGCAAATGACGGCCCATTGGAAAGGTCTTGAACGAGGCTATTCATTGAGATGTGATTGAATTTGATATTTACTTGAGTAGAAAACTGTATTGTGCCCAAACTCTGAAAGAAGAAATGTTAATGTTCGTAAACCAGACTTTTGAACGCGATTTTGGTGGCACAATTATCAGATTTTTCTTACTGATTTTTTTGCTTTCCACTTGCTGTCATCAGTTACTAGTTGATCATAGTTCACCGTGTTGCATGTACTTTCATGTGCCAGGACAGAGGGTTATCCTTATTGTCAAGAGTACATGACGCCATGATTGTACTCTTGATATTGTCAGAGCCTCGACTTTTTTTATTCCGATTATCCGGGACCACTCCCGGATCAGCTGTTCCGACAACCCGACCGCGAAAACGATTGTTCGCGAAAGTGAACTAATACTGTCTTGTTTGTAAAGCTACCACCATCCATTGTACTGGCTTCCTCTATTACCTGATTCTATTTCTCCATACCAAGAAACAAGAGTATATAAGTTCCTGGGAGCTAATTTACTTTTGCCAGAAGTTGTAATGGTCGTTTTGCCTTCTTGCCCATTCAAATATGTGAAGTATTGTAAGTTTGTTGTTACTAGTACTTCAAAGTGCACAAGTCAAATTGAAAATGTTTTCGTTATATGATCTAGCAAGAGTAGTGTACTCTTGGATTTAGCTTAGGGTGCGTTCTTATATTCTCTAGCTTCTAGGAGAAGAAGAAAAGAGAAGTCGAAGAAACTGGTATAATTCAAGAACGGGTCTCGAAGAATTCGGAGATATTTTGCACATGTCAAGCAATATGAAGCGCCAAAGGGGCCGCGATCTTGAGTTATGAATGTAGTATGCATATGTGCGTATGCGAAAAGGGAAATGCGTACACTCATGATCAACACGTGCCTTTTAGCCGTAGTTCGCATACTTGTATGCGCTGATCCCAAACCGCGGGAATCTCCAAGTTTCAGCCACCTCTGAAGTTTGGAGAGCTTGGAGAGCTTTGGAGAGCCTCCTAAAAGTCGGAGAGGATATAAGAACAGCTCTCGAACTTTTTGGAGAGTCTCCAACTTTTCCCGAGAGGATTTAAGAACACACCCTTACAGAGGAAGTACAGGGTGTCCTCCTAACAGAGGGGTATGTTTGGGATCGGGTACTTCAAGGCCTCATGGTTGCTCAATCCTGCAGAACAGGTCCTACATTTTCCCTCGGTTTGGTAAATCATGGTAAATAGCGCACTAAAATCAAGATATCAACCATCCATAGGCCATGCATCACATGCAGGGGAATAATGCATTATTCGGTTCTTTGGGAAAGGGTTCAAGTGGAGCACCCCCCTCATTCTGGATCCTGCGTACGCCCCTGGGTTGTGACTTGTGAGAGAGGGTTGGGGTTTTTTCCCTGGCATCACACTAGATCAAGTTCACAAATGCTGCTGAACACTAGGAGTGTGATAACTACTTGCAGCACAACACAGCAAGATTGTACTTACGGTGAGCTTGGCGTGACCTTCCTCCCAGTAGACATTCAGAACAGTGAATCATTGGCAAGCGCACATTGGCCTTTTGATCCTCACGAGGATGCAGAGCCAGAGATGGAGCAGTGCATGGCGTCAGTGCCATCTGGGCCACTGGGCATGGCCAGGCAAATTGGTATGCCGCCGCCAGGGAAACTTGTTCACCCTCCCCGCAGCCGGCTGTCATTATGCTCAGCAACTTGCTACTTGTCACCGCAGCGATCCCAGCAATAGTCCTTGTATCGTGAAGCTGGCCAACAAAATTTCAGTACTGACATGTGACATGATTCAGTTTGGAGTATATTCTGATCAGGAAGTGTTACTGCTGGCACGTTCGCCCTGTCATGGATTATGGCGTGATCGGTTCAAGCACGGTTTGCTACGGACATAAAATTGGAAAAGACTGTGTCAGTTGTTTCCCCTCGTCCTCAGGCCACACACCATCACAGCACAGCGTGCTACTCACAGGGGTAACGTGACAGCGTTTTGATCAGTGTTTTTGTTTGCAGTACGGCCTTTGCCGGGTGACCATTCGCTCTTGACAGTCACAGCTGAGCAAATGGTCACATTTCCAGGAAGGAAGTATCACAAGGGCCAGGACCTAGGACCCCCCCCCAATACGTGCTCGTCTGTTATTTCTTTCTTTTTAGAATATTTTAACTTTTAAAAGGGAAAACCTTTTCAGCCATTTACGCCAATGGCAGCAGTTTGGTTCTTGATGATGGCTCACTGGGCCGAACTATTGGTTGATTTTCCTTTTCTTTTTCAAATGCTACTTTATATATATATAGATAAGAGACCGATTCAACCAAATGTTGGAAATTGACATAATTTTAGGGACTCATAAGAAAAAGCCTTCTAAGCTATTTAACCATGTTTGGCTATTTTGGGGAATTGCTTGCATTTTTCGAACTGCTGTTTGGATGCAAAGTAGAGTTGAGTGGTTGGCATATTAGTCTACATGCTCTAGCTGTAGACTTCAAGTAGAAGTCTTGCTACATGTACTTTGATATAGCGAGGACATGACTTGACGTGGTTGCATCTTCCGACATCATCGGCGTGGGAACTGCGACTACCAGTTGTGGAAGCATCTATGACTTCATGCCCCAGTTTGGACATGTTTCGTTTGGCCATTTCCGTATATCTTGCAGCACGCCGACAGAATACACTGACTTACATGTATCCGCTATGGAATCCTCTGGCTCCTTCTTTTATTTGTACGCGTTATATTCTGGTTTCCAATATTAAAGTGTGGAAAATGCGAAACTTGGAGCATTTTCGTAAAGCTCTTTTGGTCCAAAAAAAGTATTTTGGGGCCTTTCATGAAAACTTGAGGCACCAGGGCTGCGGCCGGCCCATATTCTAGATACTACCGAGTGCGAAGACCAAGACAAAGTATTCCGTTTCTACTATTCGGAGAACATTGCACAGTTTCACTGAAGGCATGCCCTGCTCGGACTGAAGGCATGAACGTGGTCTTCCATCATGTGTGCGGCATGGCTGACACTCTCTAAAAGGAGAGTGCTATGCCGACTGGCATTGCTTACCATGATCTCAACCGGCTGCACCACAAATAATTTTTAAATTGCCACTGTCTAGTCGTCATCAGTATGGTTTCAAGCCTGGTTAACAGTACCATAAACACATCAGCTGAACGTCGTGGCTGTCTGGCCATGCAGACGCGGTGGAATGGCTTCTTCCTGGCAGCTGCTCACATCCTTACCCGGTCACAGCCACAACAATCGGATCAGCGGACCGATCACTCCAGATACTCCAACTGCTCACCTCGGCAAACTTCGCAGGTGGTGCTCGGCCATGATCAGAATCTCAACAGCATAGCGGCTGAGGGCACATTAACACAGTCACAGGACAAGCACACATAGTAGTAATTAGTATTTACAAATTTGGCTGTGTCCCAACTTCTGATCATGACCATATTCAGGGAACTTGATGCTGATTGCTGAATGCCAATGCATGGCAGTTGACACAGCTGCCGTGCACGAGTGTACCACCAGGGTCCACACATGCAGGCTTCCCGAGCACATGCACACCCGAACTCCTTTTCCAGCTCTGTACTGTAGCATCTGCAAGTAAGTTACTCAGTGTATAGCAGTTACTATCGTCTATGGGAGTTTTTAATGCAACCCACTCGTCACATTATGTACATGTATGTCCCCCTCGACTGCCGGCCCATCTTCATATCAGGTGTGAAGCCGGCCTGGGCCAATTCGGGTGCCGCCGGATGGTATTTGTCAAGTACCGGTAAGTTGGAACTAGTAGCATTCAGGGCGTCACCGTAAACTGTCCCTCCCTCCTCCTCAGGGCCGCGTACGTATGCATGTACATGTACGCAGGGATTATTGATGCATGCAATCGTGTACTTTTGCCGGCTAGATGCTTTGGCTATACTTGTTACCATGGTTATGTACTGTACTGCAATCGGTTCAGTGGCCAGTCACTCTGAGTGAGCATCAACGATGAGACGTAATCTGTTACCATGGTTACAAGGTCAAACTAGCTATCATGTATCAGTCCGGAGATTCCGTATCAAAGTGTGCTTGAGTCCCGGTTTCGATACATGTATCATTTCACCTCACGGCATTTTGAGTATTTATATTGTATTACTCGTTGAATTTCCTTTGCCAGTAAATTCCTTCTGAAGAGATGGCAACGAAAATGTTCACTGAGGAAATCTAACCTGTGTTGCGAATGGTGTGTGTTTTGAATGCGGAACTTGCTTTACTTATATTGCGTTGAATATAATAATTATAAGTATTACTACTTCAAGTACTAGTAGTAGAACTATTATTAATTTTGGTGCCAGTGTTCACTTTATTATTATTAGACACAATCTCATAGCATGTGACAAGCATAGCTAATGCAGGGACAGAATCCCCTGAGACAACTTGGCAGGGCGTTGAGCCAGCCACGGCAATAGTAAGCTAGGAAAACAAAGCAAATATTAATTCATCATTTCTAGGAACTGGCCCCTGGCCGGTGAGAAGGCATCCTTGCCTGTAAATCTCATGAAGTAAAATAAAACAACAACAACAACAACAATTTAAAAAAAAGCAAAAATGAGTGGAAAATTACAAAGAAAAACGATTAACGGAATTGAGCAGTTCCACAAGCAGAAGCCAGTGGTCTGGCCTTGGCTGAATCAACCCCACTCTGCTGATAGGTTGAATTCTCTGCCTGTCTCGTGTCGTCAGGTTGAGCATCTATCCGTTTTTGTTTCGCTCTGTAAAGAGCACTTAGGGTTCCCTGTAACAAGACGGCAACGTCTGTAGGGCCTTCCCTATCAAAATAATAAATAACTACTACTACTACTACTACTACTAGTACTACTACTACTGAGTACTACTACTACTACTACTACTACTACTACTACTACTACTACTACTACTACGGTACTACACTCCAGTCTGGCCACCAAAGCCAGGCCAGGCCAGGGCAAGGCTGCAGGCCATGGTCCTGTTGTCACAGACACAGGTGCTATCGCCCAGGGAGTCGTAAGATACCGGTATTTTACGACTCCCTGGTCGATATCACCTGGTAGATTTACCGACCGTTGCGTTGTATCATGCCATGCACACAACAGCGCTAGCGGCTACCGGTAACTGACTAAGCGCAGGGCGCCGGGCCGCATGGCCCATCGTGTCACCCGCGAAATTCAAAACACATCACGAAGACAACGCTTCAAAGACAAAAGTGTTCTCACGAACAACCACCACAACGGTGCCCGATCGGCTGAAGACGGCGAAGGTTGTGCGCGATCGTGGCCTGTTTCGTACTCTTTTAGCTGGTGATCGTGACGGATAGGTGTTTGGAGAGTGTCTCCCGATCTAAACCAATAGATTCAGTATCGCTTGAAGTAACTTAGTTGGTGTCCTTGTCCGCTGTGCAAGTTTTAATTGGAGTCAATATTTCTTTAGCTGCCATCAAATTATCCAGCGAAACCTGATGGACGGTGGAGCAATGGATTTTCCACTGGTTGGAGAGATAAGAGAAAAAGAAAAGCTGAAGGTATGTCACTGACCCCGATCTCCAAAAAAAGATGCCCTGTTCTGCTTGACGAGCTCTTTGATCCTGTTTATCTTGTCCGCAAGATTCCGTTCAAAACTTTAAAAATGTAGAACTAACTACTTGTACAACTGACAAATTAATTAATAGCATTACAAACTTCACAGCGAAGGTGGATACAATTCAGTTTCTTTTACAATCACATTTCGTTTCAAACTGAAGGTGGGCATGATGATAGTAGTTTGAAAATGATGTTCAAGATACATCAAACAAATTCACGTTTATCGACCTGTCCAAAACGCAACTTCTAAAAATAAAAACACACATTGACACAACGTGTTCGCTTTATGGCCCCAGCACTTAATATATTCATGGGCCATATTTATATTTCACTGCTATCAGCACTGCAGCACTTCAAAGGAAGTAAAATGGGGCTTTGTATGCAGTGTTTATTTTCGTGTTGTTTCCTTCGGCCACTTTTCTTTCCATTACCGGTTGAATCACCTTTCATCCTCTTTCAGTGGCGCTATCCCTTGTAACTTATACATGCATACATGTACGTATCTTGTCTTGATTCGATTTTGTACAGCAAAGTCCAACAGTGGCGAAGAGTGTGGCGACACCATCGCCAAAGTCCTGGACGTTTGGAGAATACCTTACAACTCGACAGAAACGTCGCCAGTCTGCTGTGGCCGGCAGTGGCAAGGGCAAGGAGAATGTTGCCTCCGCCTCGGTCCGCAAGCAGATATTCCCATCGGACAGCTCCGGCGCGGCGGCGGGTCAAACCGCGGAGTCTCCGCGTCTGAAGCGCAAGCGCTCGTTTGCTAGCAACACCGTCAACACTACCCAGCCGGTGTCCACTGCTTCCAGACAGAAATCTGTGCAAGCACCTCACGGTGTAGTTGAAGTACCAGCATCCAGTCCACATGGCCAGGTAATGGTATGGCATGGTGATCGTCTTTGACTACAAATAGTACACTCATCAATCGTTTCCTTTGATGGCGTGTTCCCTACTCTACATTATGATGTAATGTGCATACAGTGTGATGTAATGTGTATGACGTGGTCATGAGCAGATATGCACCTGTGAGCATCCTACAACACTGACCTGTCCTGGCTAGTGTCTGCATGCTTTCTCTGCAAACTCGATGTTATACGGCTCAGCCACTGATCCAAGTACGGCCTTATACATATGAGTAATCACTCAGTGATTGATGTACCGTCGCGTATAAAAGCTGGGCTAATTCCTGTGAAGGCCGATATCAGTGCTAGGTTTCTATGCAAGCCAGGCGTGTATTCAAACCAGGTATATTCTATGTATGTCAACACTGAAACCAGGTCTATGTGCCGAAGATCCATCTTGAAAATCAGACCTGTATTCAAAGCAGGCTTCTATACACGACACTGCGGTATCATAATCATATCATTATCCGTATCCCGTAGAAGTTGTACACATATTAAATATGTTTAGGTCTATGTCTATACCCTGCATCAGTGTGTGTCCTCAGGATATACGACAGCAGGCAGCCTGCCCAGGAGACAGTACCAGTGCATAATTATAGTACGGACTGTTAGTTAATGTGCACCATGCTTTCCTTTGTGAATGTGCACCACCATTTTCTTTCTTTCTTTTTGCCATGCAGCAGCAGGGTCGTCGACGGCGTAAAGTAGGTAGCCGCAGTGCCAGCAGCAGCAGCAACTCGTCCAGTGCTGGCGACGGGCAAACCCTGCGCACCATGTGGGACAGCGTGGTGGCCATGATGAAGACGGCCGTTGACTCCATTCTATTCGACGATGATGCAGATGCGGAAAATGAGGGCGCGTTCCAATCCCCAGCCAAGGTACGGCATGTGCTGGCTAGTATCGGGGTGGTGTTTTTTGTTTAAATACGGTCACCTAGTATTGTGGGCCCTATTAAAAAAACTTACCCCTTACCGTGCAGTCGGCGACGTGTTGGGACTACTTTTCATTGCCAATGGGTTGGACTGGAGGAACTCCTGGCGACTAACGGCGTTACTCTGTGCGGGTGCATGCCTGGATGCACATGTGCCTGCATAAGCTTGGGTGTGTCAATTTTGGAAAGAGAGATGTACACAACAATATCGCTGTACATAATATGAAGCGAGTCCCTGACTGTCATTCTGTTGTTGGCACCTCATCCCAGGTGTGTCCATCCAAATGCGTTTCTTGAGAGATGATTTACCAGCAAATTTACTTAGCTGTAGTGTTATCGGTTCAATCGTGTTGTATTTACTGCAGCGACGCTGTCCAGCGGAGAGTGGCATGCCGCTGCGTGCAGCTGACAGAACTCAACAGCCTCTACGCCGCACTCAGTCCAACACAAGAACCCAAAACATCGAGCCATCGAAGATCAAGGAAGCCAAGAATCTTGACCCCGACGCTAGGAAAACGTATGCAGTGAAACTCTCTATAGTATAGGAGTTTTTTTTCTCCCGTACTTTAATAGTCTGTAGTAAACATTCACAAATGGCTCTGTTAGTGCTTGGGACTATGCGGTTCCACACAGTGTTGTGATGCTTGACGCCGTACGTGGTTAAAGTCATGTGGACCCGAAGCTTGCTCCAGAATAGGTTCAAGTCGACTATCAGCAATAAGACACGACCTTCCTGAGTGTTGTTGTGGGGACTGTTACTACTGCTGCTGTTGTCAACTGAAAACTTCCGATGGCTGCTGACGTGGATGCCAGAAAATATCAACAACAAACTGGCCCTTCTGCCCAACCTTTGGTGCTTTGTAGAGGCTCTTTGAGTCTTTGTTACTTGTGTGCCGTCCACATCTGTGACATCAGATGCTACTGGTTTGAAAATGCGCACTAATGCCATGGGGATTCTCCAGCGTTAGTGTACTGATGTTCTTACCTCGGATCATTCTTTCTTCCCTCTTTCCTGACCACTGCTCGTGTGTGTGTGTGTGTGTGTGTGTGTGTGTGTGTGCATGTTCCACAGCCGTCGACGCGTAACCAGGAAGCAGTCCATGTTCTCACGATCCTCTCAGGTAGCACCGCCTGACCAGAGTGCAGCAGCGTCAACTGGCGGCCAGATGACGGGGGCAACCAGTCCTGTTGCCACGGCGCAGGAGCTCAGTGTAAGTACAGCAAGCGCGTGTGTGTGCGTGTGTGCATGCTCCAAGATCATGGATATTCAACATGTTGACAACGTTACCCTGACCTTAGCCATTGCTCGGGCATGTGCATGATGATGTACACTTGCTAGTATGGTTGCCCGGGTGATAACTTCCATAACGACCAATCTGCCGCCCGTGCTTGCTCACTCAATTGTGATGTGTGTTGTTGTGTGGCCATTCCCAGGTGTTCACATTCCGCCGGTCGCCTCTGAGCACAAAGGTGGCCAGTGCGTTCGGCTCGCCACGCTCCTCCGGTCGCCAGCACAGCGCGCCCACTCGCCAATGCCCCGTTCCGCTCAAGCACATACCTGCCCGCTCGACCCGCGCCTCCGACGGTGGCCGCCTGCGCACACCCGTCCACCTCTGCGCACCGTCTCCGCTCTGCTCACCACTGTTCCGAGAGGAACCCACCAGCCTCCGAGTAAGTTGTCTTCAGACTAGGAGTCTACGTTACCGTATTGCACATTGGATGAATAGCAATGGAAACTTGGCACTCTACCTATGTCCAACTGAACCTTCATTATACAATGCACTACACTCAAACACATCGTATCCGCCTTACACGGCACTGGACCATGTTCGCAACAAAGACCATCGGTTGGCGACACAATCCTGATCGGTGGGTGTGGGGTTTGAGAGTTTTCTTCCCCTGCTCCTGTGCCTTTATCATACCAGCACTATACTAGAAGATTGGGAGCATGTGTCTGTGTCAAGTTTATTCGGCCATTTCTATTGTGCCCCGTGCTTGACAGAGAACTGAAGCAGACCAAACGCCCGGCGATGGCAATTGTGTCAATCGACATTCAGAAGCACTCAACAGAAGTTTCAGATCTTCATCCAGGCCATCCAGTCGCAATGGCGCGGTTCGTGTGTCTCGCTCTCGCTCTGCACGCAACGTGTCATCGCGAATTGATGTGCCTAGCCGCTCGCCTACACGTAAGCTTGAGGTGCTTGCTGCCGGTGTTCTGGTGGGGCTTTGCCTGTCTGTTGGCCTGTGTGCACGTGTGTGCGTGTGTGTGTGCACGTGTGTGTCTGTCTGTGTGCGTGTGTGTGTGTGCACGTGTGTGTGTGTGCACGTGTGTGTTCATGTTACTGCAATGCCTTGGAAAGCTGGTTGTCTGGAATTGTGTTGTTCTGCTGTGCTCGTATCCTTGTGTTGATGCCCACTTGCTTCTTACCCAAGAACACTCTTTGTCATCCTGTACAGCTGTTGGCATCGACATTGATCCTCTCCTCAAGATGAAAGTTCCGTAAGTTAGTTACCCTATCGCACCGACCATTGGACTGTTTCAAACTGCTGTTTGCAATTCACTGGTACACTGACCACAAGCCGTGCCATGCCAATGGTTAGTATTCGAGTGCAGTACTCAGCGATCAAATATTGACTGTTTTCTTGGCCTTTTTCTTCTTTTCTTTTTTTTCCAGGAGCACAGCAATGCCTGTTCGTACTGCCACACGACCGAAGCAGTGTACTGAGGCTAAACACAGTGTGCCCAAACTCAATGCCGTTGATGAAAGCCGCGATGCCGACATTTCGGCTAGCTCCAGTAACGACAGCACAGGTGCAGGGTTAGCTGCAGTGCCGCCTCCCCCTGCACCACCACTCCCACCACCGCTGCCAACAGAAACGACCGTATCTAACACCGAGTCAACGACCAGTGGTCCACCTCCGCCGCCACCGCCTGTTCCAAAAGTACTGACTAAAGCCGATGCGCCGCGTGTTGTTCAGCAAAGTCGAGCCGATCGAGTCCTCTCTGGCATGCAGGAGCGACTGCGCAATCGCATGCGTCAGGCAGTCGAGTCGGCCAAGTCCGTCACCGACAAGTCGACAAAGAATGAGAAGGTGGAAATCGATCCAAAGGTACGCAGTACTTTTCTTGCTGCGAGTACTAGCGGTATGTATCGAGCCGGTCTTGGTATGGGTGCATGGCCCTGCCCCCAAACAGGATTGACAATATCCTTTTTTTTAGTTTTAGCCTGGCACCCGTTTTTCACGGAATGCACAGTTGAATGAGATAATGCCGTCCCAAAAAGGCAAAACCCCTCCTCGCCTTTATGGAAGGTAAAGATTAGTGTAAAGATGTTTAGAAGTCTAAATAGAAGCATGACAGGGGTGTCTACCACTAAGCTATGGGGTAGTCGTCATCCCAACGGCGACCGTTCGACATTTTCTTCAGACTTCAAAACTCATAAATTACATAATTCATACAAAAAAAGGTGAAGGGGTACAACCCAGAGTGTGCAGCTTGAATGGGTCACCGTACTCACTTGACTAGAAGCCCCTCTGAATGATAGCCCCTGTGCAGGGCTATGTGCCTATACCAGAACCAGCCCGATACCACCGCTGGGCATGGCTGTGCTGTGTCTAGCCTGAGAGGCTGGTTCCCTCGCATACAATCAGAACTCCCTCGTGTATCAACACTCCACGTAAAGTTAGAAACATTACTCCAGCCATTACCATGCGTCTGTCCGGCCAATTCTCTCCAACGGGTGTCTTGCTTCGCAGTTTGTTGTTCTGTGCCGAGTGGTGAATCGCTCCTCCGTCTACTCCCGTGATCTGTAACATGCATACAGATAACACAATGGGCTGCCATTCAATCCAAGTACCGCAAGATCACCATGGAAGAGTTCTTGGCACTGGCTGAGACCCAGCGCACTGTGGCACTTCAACAAATTCAGGTTGGTCTCTCTCTCTCTCTCTGCACGTATATGTAGTTCACATGACAAGTCTCGTTGAGAGGCGTTTGTGCTTGTCTTGCTTTAGCATCGTGTGGTGGCATCCTTCTACGTGTGATTATTGACTTGGATGTGGATACCAGCAATACATGTAGCGCTTGTTTTAGGGGGTTTCTCTTTGGGGGTTTTTCCTGTGCATTTGCCGGGCAAGAGCGCAAGTAACACGTTAGTTGACATTTAATTTGCCCTTTGGTGTTTGCTGTGTCTGCTACGGTTTTCAGGCATTGTCCATGCGGCTGCCTTCGGAGATGAATGAGATCATTCAGTGCGTGGAGAGCTTGGCCGCTGCTACATGCTGGTGGCCTGGTGGCATAAAGGAGATGAAGGTACGTTGCCATGCCAGTGACTGGCCGCTGTTCTGCTTTTCTTCACTTTGACCTGGGCATTGTAAGCTGCAGCATTCGGATTCAGACGCAGGTAGCAAGATATCTGACAGACTCTGCAAGAGCTAGTTCGGGATTCCAATGGCTCCATCTTAGCTCATTGCTAATTGTTTGTCCCTGCTGCAGGAGACCATACCAGAATGGAAAGTTCTCGAGCCCAAGCTGGACACCATGGAAGAATACATCAAGGTAGGTGGTGGGCTGGTTGCTCTGCAGAGTCTCATCGCTAGCTCACAGATGTGTGTGTGCGTGTGTGTGTGTGCTTACCTCAACTTGGCTAGTGTGTACAGTGTGTTTGGAGTTCTCTCACAGCCAGTTATTTCAAAGACGCAGTAAAATACATGTGCGTACATGTTAATGGACTCGAAACATTGAATTCGAACATACAGATGCGAGTGTGTGTTTGGGGGCGGGGGGGGGGGGGGGGGGGGGGGGGAGGGGGTCGAGTCTGCTTACTGATGTGTACATTGCAGCAAATGTGTTCTCTCGGGTCGTGAGACTAGAGAAGTGCCTGTTCTACCACACTTGTAGCTGGTGAAATCGCATCTCTAGTTTCCCATCATACTGTGCATGCTTTTATCCATACGTGCAAGGCATGTGTACCTTTACTGTCCGTACTGTCTAGTTGTTTGCTAACACACACTATGACCTTCAGCAATGCCGCTACTCGAATTGTTTGTCATGTTCTTGCTTGGCTGTTTCTCATCTACTTTAGGTCACTCATAGCATGTCTGAAGTGACGGCAATGCCTGACGCACCGCAGGCGGAATTCCACCTGGAAGTCTCCAGATTACGGTAGGGTTTTGCTAGCTGCCTGCAATTGCTGCTGTACCTCGTCGCCATGTCTCCAGGCACGCCCGCTGAATATTGCGCCTAGCATCTCGGCTACATTACATTCCTACTCCGACTGTTTCAACTACTTGTGCATGTTTAATATCATATCAACTGCGTTCTTTCTTTTGCATAACAATGTTCCTTTGCTGGAAAAATGGAGCCCTTGGTTCAAAGACGTCCTTCTTTGCCTGTGCGTGAATGCTGCGTGTAGGGACTTGTTCTTGAAGTGGCATCGTCACTGGAGTGGAACACTGCTCTCAAGCGCCCGGTAAGTAGTGTGTGTGTGTGTGTGTGTGTGTGTGTGTGTGTGTGTGTGTGTGTGTGTGCTGTACATAGCCATGCGCAGCTGTCTGCAAAGTGCTATGTAATCTACAAGTCGATGGTGTACTAGCACATGGATTGTCACAGAAACGGTTGAGTACAATTGTAGTCAAGAATTCGTCACTCTTTAAAGTGACTATCTAAAGAGTGACTATCATCTTTTGATGTCACATGTACGCGATTACATTTGTTTTCAGTGGACCTGTACATCGCTATATGATCTGACCCTGGTGAACGCTTGTGACTACTTATGATTGCTTCAATGGTAGTGATGAGCAGTCGATAATGCGACAGTGAGCAGGGCTGCCTTCTGTATTGCTATGCATCCCTGTGTGTTGGTGTTGTTGTTGTTGGTGTTGGTGTTGGTGGTGGTGGTATTTCAAATCTGTTTTCTCGCAATGGTTCAGGGCCAATAGGGCTTGAAAGTGCTACGTCACAGCATAGCAACAATTTCAAAAATTCAAAAACTGGATCCTCTTGGATCCAGTTTTTGTATGGATCAAAGCACATTTCAAGCCGTCTTACTCACAGCAAGGTGATGTAGCCAGTGAAACTGACTGATTTGGCTACTGAGGGCGGGGTTACAACTGGTGGCGAAGTAAAAGTCACCCCTGCATACGACATGAGTGGGTTGCTATGCACCCACATACGGCGGCAATAGCAAAGTCACACCTTGGTGGATCCAAAATAGAAATCTGATGTCAACTTACTACTCCCTGGCCGTTTTTGACGGCATCACTTTCAAGCCCTATAAGAGATTGCTGTTGCTACGTGTCCCAGCACCCTCACCTGTTCTGTATGTGTATGCCCTTTGTTCCCACTTCTTAGTTCCAGTTTGTGTGCGTATTGGTGTGGCACAGGTCTTGGAAAGCGTTGTCATTGCCAGTCGATGGGTCACTGCTCAATCAGGCGCGGTGCTACCTGGCGGAGTTGATGCTGCAGATGTCGCACCGCGTGTCTGAAGAGACGGCACAGCTGCATGGCAAGAGTATCACACGCAGCCACCGTCAGGCTAAGCAGGTACTGTTTGTGTGCTGCTGCTTGCGTTGCCTTTGCAAACCTACTGCTGCTACAGTTCTCGTCTTTGAAGCCGGTGTGCCTTGACTTCAGAAGTTTTACAGAGCCAGTTTGGCGGTTTGGGGAACAGGGGATGTTTCCCAAACGATTTGAATCTCCTGTCAACTTTTTCCTGTGTACAACATGTATTCCGGTTCGAATTTTAAAAGTGGGTTCTGCGTAGGTCCCTGCAGCAGGTCCCGTACTAGGGTAGTCACCTGTACCTTGTTGTTCTGTGTTACAGTGTAGGGTCCTGACGTAATGTAGTCATGAGAGTGACTTTTCTAAAGTACTAAGTACTGTAAATATACAAAATTTCGGCGCTGCAAAATTTCGGCACTTCACGATTTTTGACATTTCGGCGGCGATTTATTTTCGGCGTGGGGTAGAGGGCATGGTATAGTGCGACAGATGTTGTGAACATTTCATCGGCGTTTTAATTTAGGCGTTTTGGGTCGGGGCCGAATATAGCCGAGATTAAATAGCTGCCGAAAATTTGTATATTTACAGTAGTGCTTGGAGTTGTGCTCCATCATGTTGTAGCTGTACCAGTGACACCCACTACTACCATCTCAGTCTACGTGCTAGCACATCATAAATCCTGGCCTCGGCTGGTGGTGGCCGCTGGAAAACGGCGCGCGTTTTGCTTTCATTTTTTCTGACTGCAGCTGACTAGCATGCTTCAGGAATGCATAGAGTATTTGATCATGTCACTGGAGCTGGTCAAGGAACCGGCCTTCCCGCACGGCAACGGCCAGGACACAACGGTCTACGACGACGAATGCGAGCGCATCTCATCGCTGTTCGCCGCCACCAAGTCTGCGGGCATCCTGTGCACGCAACGCTACGTGGAGATGGCCAACGCGCAGTACCTTGCTGTCGTGCACACTCACCCCAAGCAGGTAAGCTGCTGCTACTGGCGGTACACACATGCACACCCATACCCCCCCCACACACACACACGTGCGCACGCACACCGTACAAGCAGTGCAAGGTGTGCAGTCAATCCGTACTCATTTTTCACCTTCATTTCAAGCTGTAGTGAGCTGCACACAAGAACAATGAGCTGGTGTAGGATCCGGATCCAGGTGTGACCCTATTACCCTCATCTTCTTATACAGCATGACCTGACATCTGTTCAGTTCGCCCAGCCATACGATCTTTCCTTACCTTGGCTGTAAATCAAGGTAGGGCATTCTGACGGTACTTAATGCCATATGTTGTGTACTCGTAGTACATGTAGCAGCAAGTGGCTACCATGTATGAGACTGCCGTGATTACTAGTGGTGAAACGAATATTCGAACATTCGTTCGGTTTGTCACATTCGAATATTCTTTAAGTCACATCGAGTATTCGTTACGTCACTTCGAATGCAGTGCATGTATATACAAGCACGCCGAACACAATACAGTGCAGTGCGTACAGCCTGCCTGTGACTTTGTACTCCATGTTTGCACATGTATGTGCATACTGGACTGCCAATGTTGCACATAACATGTATGAACTTCGAAGTAGTCTTATGTGGCAGTGCATTTTATGTGGCACTACTGTTTGTCGTACCTAATAATAATGACAATATCCATCAAATGACTGAGAGGAGGGCATGTGATGGCATCTCTGTTACCAAAAGAAATTAAAGAATATTCGTACGTTCGTTCGATAAGCCAAAGAATATTCGGTTACTAGGTTTTGACATTCGTTTCACCACTAGTGATTACCTCTCAAGCTCTCACCATCTATGTACCTCTCCCCCCCCCCCCCCCCCCCCTCCTGTGCCTACTGCAGGAGGTTACCGCACATTTCGATGGCGTCCTCAAGACACTGGGCCTGCTGAAGAACTTAGCACGGAAGTCCCAGGACTCGAGCCTTCCTTGGAGAGCCCTGGCACAGAAAGGTACATCTAAGTGTTTGTGCTGTCGTGAATCTATTGTACGTACCTACCAGTATACATGCTTTAGGACCGTGTTTCTTCCTTTGCAGTTCTGTTCGAGCGTTTTTTTCCCCTTTTTGGGACTTCTTTACATACACACACACGCACACACATACACAAGCACACTGCATTGGACAGTTGTACCATGCATGGATGTTGGGTTCTCTTCTCGTTGTGCCCAGGCGTCCTGCAGCACTTCAGCGGCACTGCTGATGTAAGCGAGGCAATCTACAGGAGCTGTGCCAGCGTTCTGCAGCACATCATGAAAGTCACCCGGGTCACTGGTGCTAGCAATGACAATGGAAGCAATGGCAGCAGTGCGGCGTCCTCCTCGGCTGAGACTACACCACGCGAGGTATGTTCTCCTGCAGCACTGTACCGCCAGCGTGTGGTCTCCAGGACACACAAGCTGTTTAGCTTTGCTGTGTTGGTCAACGCGGCGAACACAATTACGCCTGTCTGCCTTGGGTTGTTTTCTGTTGCCGGACTTCATTTCACTTTCTTTTTGAGTGGCTTTGGTTTGTCGGTGACTTTCGGACCCTGCATGCATAATTCGTGGACAGTGTGCCAGGATCTTATCGCTTTGCAGCTTACATTTACTCGCCATGCTTCTTTTCTGAAATTCTCTGCTTTGTCCAGATGGTTCTGTGGCTGATGTTTGGCTGCAAGTATTTGAACCGCTCTCTGGAGATGCTGGGCGATGATGGCCACAGCAACATGAAGGAGCTGCTGGACTCATTGCAACGTATCGAAGACAGCCTACCTGGGCAGTGATGGCCACAGCAACATGAAGGAGCTGCTGGACCCATTGCAACGTATCGAAGACAGCCTATCTGGGCAGTGATGGCCAGGGAACACTCGACTAACTTATTCACCCCGACGGTCTTGTTTAGTAGATGCATTCCTGATAACACCACCAATCTGGTCTCAACGAATGTTGTGCATTGCTGCCTGACTGTCCTTTGCCAGATTCCGTGTCAGTACTTTGCCATCAACCCACAGTTCTGTCAGCACCTTCGTCCAATGAGCTGTTTTCTCCTTCCTCCAACGAACGCTTATCCCCTTCCCCAGCAGACTGCTTTCCCCTTCCTCCCAACGAAGGCTGGGTAGTGAAGAAGAAATTTTCTTCTTCACTCCCCAGCCAAAATGTGTGATCAAATATTCCACGCTGTACTTGTATCAATGGATTAACACGTACCGAGGCTTCTTCACTTCTGTAAGAAATGACCACTGGCAAAAACTCACCACTAAAACTAGATGACGTCCAACAGCATGGTGACTAACTGATTGATCAATAGCTACATGTCCATGTACATGTACGTATTCATTCGCACTTGCTTGTACGAGTATGGTCTGTAGGTTTGTGACGCCCGCTGGCAATGGGCGCCGGGCTCCTTGATAATTTTATACTGATTGTGTCGTCGCTGCTGGCAGTAAGTTAGATTGCTTGCTGTTTCTTTATTTTGTCAGTACACACACACGTACACAAGTAATCATTTCTATTTCCAGCAGGCTAGACATGTATATAACTTAGTGTATATTTTCGTTTCCCTTTGCCCACGGTGTACATGATAGGAAGTATCTCACCCTTTTTTTTCTTCTTGTATATTGCACATATTTCAAATTTATCTTCAAGTCATAATGCTTTGAATCCTCCACTTTGTTGACATGCAGTATAGTTTAATAGGCAACCTGACTCCTATTGCTCTTTTCCCGGAAACTTTTTAAAAACACTTGCAAGAGTTTTGGATAGAAAAAAAATCACCGCTGCAGTATGTGACAGGCGGCCTGATTTTCTTCAACCCGTGAAGTCCAGATTTGAATATGCAAATGTGCCATTTTCAAAATACATGTACACCAGGCAGTGGTAAAATACCAGTATTTTACTACTCCCGGATGTACACTTCATGTAGATCTACACTGTCACACAACAGGTTGGCATCATCAATACACTTACATGAAAAGCTGCGTGTTTGCACACGATTCGCGCGGTTGTTAGTACTTCAAAGTGCTTGTTAGCATGCGGTAGAGTGGTGGGAGCAAGCTACCAATCCGGGGGTCATGAGACTCCAGGGCCCGTACAAGACACCATCATCCCCGTGTTGCGAATTCACTGTTTGCAAGTAGTATGGGCTCAGCATGCAGTCACATCTTCACAGGAAGAGGAAGATCCACCGATGGACTGGACAGCACATTTTGGAGGACGACCACGGCGAGGACGACACTCACGCGCATCAAGCGGAACAAAACTTAACGGCACATGTTGACGAATGCGCGCGCCCAGGTGCTGAAGGGTTCTACCTACATACCGATCTTCACATTGTCGGCATTGGAAGAAATAGATAAGGTTGATGCGCGTGAGTGTCGTCCTCGCCGTGGTCGTCCTCCAAAATGTGCTGTCCAGTCCATCGGTGGATCTTCCTCTTCCTGTGAAGATGTGACTGCATGCCCGTCCTCCTCCGCGTGCGTACAGGGTCCAGCTGAGAACAGCGTGAAAGATGGTGAAAGACCGACACGTAAACCACCGAAATTGACAAAGGATCTGCCTGCGTCGGGAAGGGTTACGCGAAGCCAAGTAAAAATACGGACTGGTGAGGACGCACGTACAACGACAACGGAAGTGACAACAACAGTCAATATTCGAAAACGTGGTAGACCGCGAAAACGAACTTCTATATCGAACACCGGACAAGTTGGAGTAAGAAGATCAATAGAAATCCGTAATGGAGGAGACGTAGCTGAAAGGACACTGGGCATCGCGCACACAACGGCTAGTGTCAGAAAACGTGGAAGGCCGCGGAAAAGCAAAGAGACGGATAGTGGTGATGCCGCGAAGAGGCGAGATGACGGGACATTGGAGGAGACAACACCCAACGGAGCTAAGAATCGCACTTCGTCCATCAAGCAACATCTGTCAGCCCGTACCAATTGTCGTGAGTTGTACAGTGATAATGTGTTCTCAATATTGTCACGTGGTAGATGTGCGTTGCATCTGGCTGTGTTAGAAGCTTTGTATATCCGTAAGTTAGATCCTGAGCTTTGCGTACAGAAAGAAAATGTGTTGTCGCTACAATTGTTTGGTGTTACTCCTCGTCGAGGTGTTAACAATGTAACTTAATTTGCTCACTATGTTCTTGTCACTATTATTATTTCCTTCGAGTTTTGTGTCGTGCTGAACTTGATAATTTTCCACCTTGTCACGAGTGTTGTTATCTCATATCTTTACGCTATATAAGTTTTAGTCTTTCCAACTTGAGCCATTCCCTGTATAATCCTTGATGAGAAGGGACCGAAAACGTTCGGATACTTTGACAAGTGCCTTATTTTGACTGGATGTGTGTTTGCGTGGATACTTACGACCCAACACGTACCTTCGTTATTAAAATAATAATAATAATAATAATAATAATGGTGGCCTTGCAGTGCTCAATCCAGTTGGGGCTGCCCCGCAACAGCGGACAGCATCTCTGTCCATCACGAGCAGTCTCCAGCAACTTATCGCGGACCAGTCCTCCCTCTACAGCGTAGACCCAGCGGCCATTTGCGCCGCCAAAGCTGCTGCCAAGCAAGCCCAGTCTGTGACTACCAAGACCGTCCTGCAGACAGCTGGTCCAGAGGCCCTACCACCAATGCTTCTGGAGCACCTCCAGGCCAAGGGAACAGGTGCATGGCTGACCTGTCTTCCTGTTCGCGAGCATGGATACTCCCTCGACCGGCGGTCCTTCGTTGATGCCCTATGCATTCGGTATGGCCTCACCATCCACGATTCACCTACCGAGTGTCCATGCGGCCGGCCGTTCACCATCGACCACGCAATGATCTGCAAGTTGGGCGGCTATCCCATCCACCGGCACAACCATGTCCGCAACTACCTGGGCCAACTTCTCTCTCAAGTGTCTGAGGATGTGCAGCTGGAGCCACCGCTGCAACCTCTACCGACGGTCCGCACGTTTGACCATGGTCCTGCCCTGCTCACTGCGGACGACGCCAGACCGGACATCAAGGCCAGGGGGTTTTGGTCGGTACAGACTGATGCATTTTTTGATGTAAGGGTGTTCTATCCCAACGCACAGTCGTACTGATGTCGCCCGCTGGCTGAGGTGTTCCAATGGCACGAGCGTCAGAAGCAGTCGGCATACGGTGCCCGAATCCGGGAAGTTGAGCACGCGTCGTTCACCCCGATCGTCCTGTCTTCTGCTGGTGCCCTGGCGAAAGAGGCCACCCGGTTCCTGAAGCTGCTCGGAACGAAGCTCTCCACCAAGCTCTCGCAGCCTTATCCCCTCGTGATGGGAAAGCTGCGGACGGACCTGGCTTTCAGCCTTGTCCGCGACTCCGTCCTGATGGTTCGTGGGAGTCGCCGTGCATTCCGTGCACCTGGTCTGGCGGCGGATGTGGATGCTGTTTCTGTGGAGGCCCGCATTCCCGCCACTACGTGACGCTAAGTCCTCCTGGGGTAACCCAATGAGTTGGAAAACCAACCACAGAATTAGATATTGGGAATAGAGTCAGACACAACAACAACCGAAATCAGTACACCAAAAATCTGTCCTACAAAAAACAAAAGAACAAGAAAAACAAGAAAGACGAAGTACAAAGAATCCCCCCAAAAAAAAGAGGGGAGAACGGGATGAAAGAGGACCGGAGAGCGGCAATGTAGTTTCCATCATGAGTTTGATTCCATCGTGAGTTTGATTCCATCGTGAGTTTTGATTCTATTATAATAATGATGATAATAATAATCATGTTCCATGGATTTTCAATAAAGTTCTTTACATAATAATAATAATTAGAAAGGTTTGCTCCCCACACCGGAGCTCGCGCTATTCCGCCGATTTTACTTGACACTTGACTGACTCACGACTGCCATCCAGAGCACACGAGAAGCCCATCGAACCTTCGACTCGGCAAACCTGTAAGAAAGCACCACTCCCTGCTCAATACACAGTGTTTCGGGGAATTCACCCCTCATCAGTTGAGCTTGAGTAGGCTGAGGAAGATTGTGCCTGAAGAGCACCACTTATATAGTGCTGTCCAGGCACAAACATCACCAGGGATACAAACTTACAGAGACGCTCCGCTTCCAGCGCGACAAACACCTCGTGAACACCAGATAGCAGCGTGAGTCAGTGTCGCTCCTGGACGGTGACGGTGTCTCACCGTCCAGGAGCGACACTGACTCACGCTGCTATCTGGTGTTCACGAGGTGTTTGTCGCGCTGGAAGCGGAGCGTCTCTGTAAGTTTGTATCCCTGGTGATGTTTGTGCCTGGACAGCACTATATAAGTGGTGCTCTTCAGGCACAATCTTCCTCAGCCTACTCAAGCTCAACTGATGAGGGGTGAATTCCCCGAAACACTGTGTATTGAGCAGGGAGTGGTGCTTTCTTACAGGTTTGCCGAGTCGAAGGTTCGATGGGCTTCTCGTGTGCTCTGGATGGCAGTCGTGAGTCAGTCAAGTGTCAAGTAAAATCGGCGGAATAGCGCGAGCTCCGGTGTGGGGAGCAAACCTTTCTGACAAATCATCGCCGAAGTCGCAACCACTACTTAATAATAATAATAATTATTATTATTATTTCAAATGGTGAACGGTACTATTCGGCCAATAAAATGTAAAGAACTTTTCCTCTCCTCTCCTCCATGCGCTCTCACAGCCGACTCAATGCTACCCTCAGTAGCCATTACACACACCAACCAAGGACTGAAGGGTTGCAGGTAGATACTGAAATTCCTCCTGACAGCTGTTTCGCCTTCATAAGGCTCATCAGAGAAGGTGATATTGAATAGGATGATATTTGGTGGAGATGGTCAGATGGTCAGAGCGCATGGAGGAGAGGAGAGGAAAAGTTCTTTAAATAATAATAATAATAATAATTTGGAAAGGATTGGGAGAACTTCAAATTCAAAGGATCAGTCGGGGAAGTGAACTGCCTGGCTGTGTTGTGAGCTGCCTCTGGAGTGAAAATCTTGTCAGCGCCTTCTAGGTTCAGCCTGGTCCCATAGCTCAGTGGTTAGAGCATTGCTCATGATAAGCAGGGTCCCAGGTTCGAGTCCTGGTGGGTCTGGCGTTTTTTTCTCTTTTCAGGCAGTTCACTTCCCCGACTGATCCTCCGATCCTTTGAATAACAATAATAATAATAATAATAAAGACCAACAACCATGGCTGCAACAACAACACCAACTTCACATCCAACAACAACACTAGGTTCACATCCAACAACAACAACAACTAATCCACAAAACAAAGCAGCAAATGACAGACCACGGAGATCTACAGCAGATTACAACCGGACCTATGAATTCACGGTAAAAATACAAAAGAAACAATCGGAAAGGACGACGACTGACATGAAGGCAACGGCATTCACGGTTGGCGTGGGTGGTGAAGGTGAGACGCAGGACGATGCAAGTGAGGAGGAGAGTCGAACCGCTGTGGATGACGGAGCAGGTTCTGATTCGGACAGTGAGGGAGAAGGTGAGCTGAGTGAGGGTGAGAGTGAGTGTGAGGGTGTGCGCGTGAGTCGAGATTGTGTGCGTCCGTCTCGAGTCTTCAGTATACAATCATTTGGTTTCTAGTACTGACTGTTGTCGTACTTATTCTGATTCCTGTTTTTCTGTTTTGTGCCGTGCTCGTCATGGTTATCTTTTGCAGTTACAAGTTTTGGAAGCTGTTTGTCAGCGCATTCATAAGCCGAATTTGTGTGTCCAGAAAGATAGTGTTATTGCCCTAAAATTGTTCAAATAATGTTCTTTTGTGTAGTGTGGCAACGTTGTTGCCACTTGTGCCTAAATGTGTTTTGTCACCTTCTTGTTTATTATTGTTATTATTATCATTCGTTCTCATTTTTTTGTTTTTGTTGCTGATACACACTTGTCACGCTTAGTTCTTACTTGTATACCCCTTGTGTTCTGCACGCTTTTGTGAGAAATCGCACCTCGATATTCCAGTGCTGTCATTGTATCGTGTCACCCTACCTTGATTGCTATATTAGTTCCTTTGTTCTCATTTTGTTCTTTAGTACAACGGTGATTCCTGAAGAGTGTTGT